GGCCCGTCGCCTGTCGTACATCGAAGCACTGTTCCGGCGGTAGCACTTCCACGCTCGGCAGCTGCGGCTCATGATCTCCCGGTCGGCCTTCCCGTCTGCACAGATGGTACGTCCGAGGTACACAAACCGATCTGTCTGCTTGTACGTCTGGCCGGCGGCGCTGACCGTGAACGGGCGTTCCTCGATCCCTTTCGGCCGCATGCACATGATCTCCGTCTTTGGCTCCGACACCATCAGTCCGAACAGGCCGGCCACGCGCACGATGATCGACATCATCTTCTCGAGGCTCTCCGGCGAGCGCGAGACGATGGCCGCGTCGTCAGCGTAGAGCATGGCCCACAAGGCCTCCGCGTCCGTCACCACCGTCGTATTTTTCCCCATCGACCTTCCCTTCTTGCCCGTGTACTCCACTTGTGTCCCGATCTTGACCATGTCCGCCGTCACCTTGGGGTCCTTGTCGAACTCGGCCACGGCAACCATGAGCATCGCGGCAAAGACAAGTTGAACAGCAGCGGGGCCAGGTTGCATCCCTGTCGGAGGCCTTGGCCCACGTCGAACCATTCCGAGTACTGCCCGTCGTCCGTTCGGACGAGCGCCATCATGCCCTCGTGGAAGTGGCGAATGACCACCAGCATCTTCGAGGGCACGCCGATTCGTCGGAGCACGTCCCACAGTAAGTCTCGGTCCACCGAATCGTATGCCTTGGTGAGGTCGACGAAGCACGCGAACACCGCAGTACTCTTCTTCCTCGCGAGCTCATGGAGCCGCTGGATGGCGAACAGCATGTCGAGCGTCGACCGGTGTGGGCGGAAACCGCTCTGCTCCTCCGGGAGGATGCCCTCTCGCTCGCGGAGGTGGCTCAACCGTGTAGCGACGACCTCAAGCAGCACCTTGCCTGCGTGTGCGACGAGAGAAATGCCCCGGTAGTTGCCGCACTCCATCGTGTCCCCCTTCTTGAACAGAACTTTGATGGTGGCATCCTTCCACTGCTGTGGTACGTCCCCAGTCTGCCACACGTCCACGACAATGGCGTGGAATTCGCGTAGGAGACCTTGATCTCCGTCCAGGAAAAGCTTGATCAGCTCAGCCGGTAGGTCGTCCGGCCCGACGGCCTTTCTGTTGGCCATTTCCCGTACCGCTTCCTCAACCTCAAGTAGAGATGGGATGTCGTCGAGTGGCACGCACGTGGGTCACCGCTTGACCTTGTCAGCCGCTTGCAGGTCGATGGTCGGCGACTTGGTACTGAGGAGCTGGTGGCACCACCGTGCCCACCGTTAGAGAATAAACGTGGGGTCCCGAAGAACCCTGCCGTCCTCGTCCTTGATGTTCTGAGAGGTGAAAAGACCACTTACCTTCGACGTCGATCATCTTCAGGTGCCTGTAGAAACCCGCCTGATCCCCCTCGCGGCTCTTCTTCTCGACCTGCCGTACATAGCCCTCGAAGAACGTTTCCCGTGCTCTCCACCTCGCGGTGCTGCGCTTCTTCCGCGCCGCCTTGAGCATCCCATTCAGGGTCGCCTCGAAGGCGCTGTTCTTTTCGGCCCCACGCAGTTGCTGCTGGGCCGCCTTCATCTCCTTACACGCTTCGGAGATCTCGTGCTGCGCTTCGCTCGTGTACCAGCCTGTTGCCCTCGTGCGCACCTCGCCAGCGGCGCTGTCTCAGGAGCGGCCGACATCACTGTAGCCGTCAGGTCGGCGGCGGTCTCTCCCGTTGGCCGCCTGAGCGCCGTGGGCGGAGGGCGGCTGGAGGCCCTGTTTTGGAAGGCGACCCGTAGGTGTTTGTCCTTCCTCAACCGCTCGAGGTCGATACGGATCCGGCTGCTTCCGCTGTTCCCTTGCACTCGTCGGTTGGGTGTGACGTGGGGGGGGAGGCGGACAGTCGTAAGCACGAGGTTGTGGTCAGAGTCTTTGAAGTCGACACGTTTGACGGAGACATTACGCACGAAACGCCGGTCCGTCTGACGCATGAGGATGAAGTCGAGGCGGTACTTCTCCTTCCCCTTGTTGGAGCTCTGGAATGTGTGCTGCACTCCACCTTTTCGTGTCCAGTAGTAGATCCTTGCCCCTCTCGTCGGGTCTCCTGAAGTCCTATCACATTTCAACCGGTCGCCNTTCACAGCCGCCTCGACGGCCGCTGCGGTCTCGTGCCTCTCTCGGTCCACCTCGCGTTGCGGGTGTGCTTTTTTCCGTATTTTCCGAGCGGCGAGTTTCCTCGCATCAATCCATCTCTGCAGAGCTCGGTTCTTGCCTGTGGTGTTTCGACGAGGAGGGTGCAGCACTCCCTCCCCGCGGTGCCCGCGGTTGTCTCCCTTCTCCCGCGAGCGGTGCTTACTGACGTGGTGTGTACGAATCTCTCTACACCTACAGCTTCGTGGGCCACGCTTTCCGCGACAATGGTTGCCAGGTNTTATACCTGTCTCTTATACACATCTAGATGTGTATAAGAGACAGGTGCAGCACTCCCTCCCCGCGGTGCCCGCGGTTGTCTCCCTTCTCCCGCGAGCGGTGCTTACTGACGTGGTGTGTACGAATCTCTCTACACCTACAGCTTCGTGGGCCACGCTTTCCGCGACAATGGTTGCCAGGTGCAGTTTGCCGCTTTGCATTACTGCCGCGGGAACAGTGTCCATACACACCTCTCGCCACTACCACCGTCTGCGCATCCTCACCGCCACGCTGAGCCAGCGCGGCGGTGAGTTGCACCTTGGGACACCACCCGCCTACGTTCTTCTGCTGTGGCCTGGTTCGCCCGCGAGGGACTCACTAGGTCGATTTCGGCCCCGGCCGGGGAGCAGGCCTAGGGGGGGGATGGAGTAGACTGGTTCCATTCAAGGGCTCTCATTGGCCACTGACGGGCTTCCTGTGGGTTGCCCATGGGCCGCCCACTGGCTTACCACGGGCTACCCAAGGACCGCTCATGCATTTCCGTTGGCATGCCATGCCCATGGGTCAACCATGGACAACGATGTGCTCATTGGCGGCTCATGGGTCACCCATGGGCTTCCCATCCCATGGGCGTTTTGACAAAACTGTGGAAAATGTGGGAGACCCAAAACAATCAACTGCAGACAGGTTTCGAGAATATACCGCATGCTATATATCTCGCTGTCCGCACACCCCTCTCCGGATACATCCCCTCTGTCCTGGCCAGCGCTACACACGCAGTTTACGTCGACAATAATGGACTACATGGACGACGTAGCCGCGTTCTGGCAGCACCATGCTGAGCACCATGCTGAGGGTTTCTGTCCACAGGGCAACCCACTCAACGTTTGGGAAGAATTACTGCTCATAGCAGCACAAACGCCTGAGCGTTT